CTAATTTGCTTTTCAGAATTATAATTTCATCTGAAAATTTATTGCTTTACCAGGTAAAATTATTTGACTACCTATAATACTATATACCAGGTACTGAGCTTAGTGCCAGGAAATTACAGATGACTAGAACATACTTCCTGACTTAAGGAGCCTGACAGAAGAGACCTAGTTCTCTATAATTAACTTAAGGAACAATGTAATTCTTCCTCTAAGGGATCTTAGCAAAGATCCCATGCAAGCCATTCATTTCCAGGTTAAAAAAACTAAGAATTACAAAGATTAAAGGACTATTTAAAAAATCATTAATCCTACACAAGAGCCTGAATCTTCTGAATCTCAGGGTGATCTTCTTTCTAACTATATCACAATTTAATTAGAATTAGGCATATAATTAATGATCCATGCTAAACTCATCTACATTTTTATATTATTCCATTTGCAAATTTACATGAACTTCGGGAACCATTTGTTAATTTGACAAACATTCGTGTGTCAGACATTGTTTCAGGCCCTAGGGAACACAGAAAGGAATAAATCACAGACCTGCCCTCAAGGAGTTGCCTCCTGGGAAAGACTGGTGGCTTAAGAAAGAATTACAGGAGAATTTAGTGTCATGATGGATGAGAGCACAAAGTGCTACAGAAGCAAAGCAGCAGCTCACTCACATCCACATAACAGTGTCAAGAAAAGCATACCTAAAATTGCCAAAATGAATATTTTAGGGCAGGCAAAAGGTTGTGCAAAGGCTTAAGAGGCACCAGAGAAGAAAGCATGTTAAAAGAAGAGCAAATGCAGTTATTCTAAAAGGTCGAGTATAGGAAAGCTATGAGTGAGTGGTACAGGAGATCTGAAATAGGCTGGAGTCAGTTCATCAAGGCTCTGCAGGCTACACTGTTTCCTAAATGTGCACCTGGGAAAGTGCAACATACAATACTGAACTACTATAAGCCGCTGAGTGTGCAGTTCATCAGTTGGATTACTATTAAACCCTGTGATTTATGACAGCCCCCACTGAAAATGAATAACCGTACATCAGGGCTATGACTTCTAAGCAGGTCAAATTCAATTCCATTCAATAAATATTTATTGAGTGCCTGCTATGTGCAAGGAACTGCAAAAGCCAGGGAAAGAAAAATTGCTTTTCTAAAAGCAGTA